AACACACACACACACACACACACACACACACACACACACACACACACACACACACACACACACACACACACACACACACACACACACACACACACACACACACACACACACACACACACACACACACCACACACACAACACACACACACACACACACACACACACACACACACACACACACACACACACACACACACACACACACACACACACACACACACACACACACACACACACACACACACACACACACACACACACACACACACACCCACACACACACCAACACACACACACACACACACACACACACACACACACACACACACACACACACACACACACACACACACACACACACACACACACACACACACACACACACACACACACACACACACACACACACACACACACACACCACACACACACACACACACACACACACACACACACACACACACACACACACACACACACACACACACACACACACACACACACACACACACACACACACACACACACGCACACCCCACGCACGCACGCACGCACCTCGCGCACGCACGCACGCTTGCACGCACGCACGCATTCGCGCACTATGATGCGGGGATGTGCTGGTTTCGAACGGAGCACGCGTGGGCTGGCAGACAAGTACTGCTTTCCTATGTTTGTGAAGTCCCCAAAAACAAAATTTCCCAAAAGGGTCCAAAAGCCTTTGAACTTTCGATGTTTCAGGTCCTCGAGGAACTTTCGGGTGTCAGGTTTGTGTTTTGAGGCGCTGGAGTCGAGGGTGGAAGAGCTGGCCGCCACCAGCTCGCGCCTCGGCACGGAGATTGCCGGCGCCAAGGCACCGGAGGGCCGAGGGAGCGATTCGGCGATTCGGATTTCCGTCCTAACATTTGGTGTGTTTGGCGGTTGCTTTCGTTTTGGGGTCCCGTCCACTTTCATATTGGCGCCCAGTTTTGACACACTCCTGTTGATTGATTTGAGAGTGGTTTTCGGGCATCGCGCCAAAGGGATCGACCTGGAAATCTCCATCTTGCATTTTGGGACACTTTTGAGGGAACCGATGGTACCCACCCTGCAGTCAATGGAGACTGCCAAACCTGTGCAATGCCTGGTTCCAGATGGAAAGACCTGGGGGGGTTGTCAAAATGGCGACCAATTCTTGCAGTCCAGACAACTGACTGTGGTATTCGGCTTGGGCAATTCTGGAGATTTGCTTGTTAATACCAGTAGTGCCGCTTCTTGTTGCAATTCGCAAACACCATTGTCAGAGTGTGTCTCTTGGAGGAATATCTTGAACTGCAGCCCAGCGGATGATTGTTATTCACGGGCTCAGGGAATCATACACCCCGGTGTCCCGAACCGCTCGGGTTCCTGCCGTATTCAGTCTTATTCAGTCTACCCATTTGGCCAAAAAGGAGCCTATCATTGGTGTGGGTGGTAGGGTGCTCCCGAAGAGAGGACGAAGTGGCGAAGAACGAAGTCGCCCTGGACACTGCGGTGGAACTGCGGAAGAAGCAAGTGGCTGAGTTCCAGGCCGATGAGAAGGACCGGCTCGGACCTGTACAAGGGGCAGTTTCCGGTGCAACACTACAGTACATTTCAACTTTTTGCTTGGGACATTTGGTGACCCCTGTTGCTTTGCTGGCCAAATTTGCTCAGCATGGCAATGTGGCAACTTTGGAGCACCCCCCCTCTCCACCCCCTGTGGGCGGGATGCTGCTTGCTCGAACGAATGTTGGCACTTCTCGTGTGCCCACACAGGGTAGACACATTCTTGCAACAAGCAGCAAAGCTACGTTTCCAATGCACTTGAAGAACCTGCAAAGCAAACAATGGAGCATGAACACAGTATCTCCTGAGTGTTACCTACATGAATAAACTCGGGAGGGCATGCAACTGGGATTGGCAGATGGCCGGCAATCCAAAAACGGCGTGTTCCGCGGCGCGAGGATCTTACGCAATCGGCCACCTCGGTGGATAAGGCCCTGGACGTCATTGGCAGGGGGCCCTGAGCGGCACGGCGGGTCCCAGGTCAGATGGCGATTCCTGGCTGCCATGTTTGGCGGATCTCCGTTTTGGTAGAGCCCCATGTTGGGTCAACTTGAGTGGGGTGATTCATGTATTTTAAAGAAGAGGATCCCTGGGTTTGAGGCTTGAAGTCGTTTCCTCAATTACAGGGTTGTGAAATCTGCATGCGGAGGTTCGGGCAAAAGTGAGATTACACCAAGGATGGTCTCCCATCCCAAAGGGGCCTAGGTTTGCTTGGGATGGTCAAAAGGACTGTCAAAGACCCAGCATGTAAGGATAATTTTCATCGGGAATCATCATCATACGAAATCCTCCTCCTCCTCCTCCTCCTCCTCCTACTCTCCTCCGCCTCCTCCGCCTCCTCCGCCTCCTTCTCCACACCATTATCAATAGAACTTGAAACATAGGCATGGTTGCTGGCCACCTGCCCAGACTGCTTTCCACCTGCCCGTTGCCCAAGTGGACCAAGTTCGCACAAGATGGGCGCACTTGGGCGATTCCAGGCTCATCTTTATCCAAGTCCACCGGACCACCGATGCTTTTTTGCAGCCTTGGATTGGAGGCAAAGTCGTCACTTCAAGGTGCCGTCGGAGACGGTGGAGTTCCTAGGTTCGAGGTAGATGGCTCATTTTGTGCCACCCGAGGCTCCAACCAGTCTTCATTCCTCCAGATGCCCCAGGCTTGGGGCTTGCTGTGGGCTCACTGAAGTCTGCGGGTGGGATCTTTGGTGTTCCGGTGTACAGGTTGCGGAGACAAGGCTTCCTGGATGTGCACACCTGTCTCCCTTGCATGTTTCTTGGTATTAAAGTTCTATACCCGGGGGGAAGCCACAGAAAAGACTCAGGGACGGAGCAGCGATGCCAACCACTTGGGGTTGAACCGGCAATGGGCTGCAAGCTTTAACCTGCATTGGCGAACCCAGAAGCGAAACCAGGAACCCATCAGAAGGAAACCAAAATGACAGGAACTATCCCTCTTCAACTTTTGGATTGTGTTTCAAGGGACAGAGGGACTCACCTCAACGCTTCCCTCGTTTTCCTCGGGAAGGAAATGGAACTGGCCATGTAACTTTGCTTCCCCTAATGAAAGGCTGACGGAGTTTGTCTTGTGTCTCGTCGTCAACACTCGGGCTGCTTTCACACTGGTGAGCTGACGCGGTTTGGGAACCGGATCGTTTTTGCATGAACGTTTTGCGGATTCACTTCATACAGCAGCTTTGTCTGGGCAGAACTGGCTGACATGGACATGGCATTTGTGCTTGAGCCTCGTGATGTAGACGGAAGACCCCTTCCCCCAACTGGTCACCTTCTCATTTTTGGGTTTAGCAGAAGCTTGTCTGTCTGAAAATGGGGAATTCCAAAAAGGTTGTTTTCCTTTTGGAACGACATCCTGCAAGCCCGCAATATGCTAGGCCCCTTTGCTCCCTTGCCCTTGGCGAAAGGTGGGGCAACGTCCAGTTTTGTGGGTGGGAAATGTGAAAGGCAGACATTCAACAAATGCTTTCATTTTTCCATTCGAGTTTTCATAAGGAAGGGATGAATAAGGGGAGGTCAAACACAACACGTTTTTTGTGCGTAAGAGGCAACCATTTGAAGGAACATGGCTCTCACGAATCGCAGGGCAAAATGTTGAATGCCCTGACGCAGCTGCAGAGCGTCTTGTCCAAGCATGTGACTTGGCCTGGAACATATCCCACCTGAGTGTGACGGGGTCTGCCCGAATTGTTGTTATGGAGGCGCTTCTATTGATGGCCGGGATCGTCGCTTGTGTTTTGACAGAGCTTACGCTTTGCGTTTGTTGGATCGCTTGCTTGCTTGCTTGCTTGCTTGCTTGCTTGCTTGCTTGCTTGCTTGCTTGCTTGCTTGCTTGCTTGCTTGCTTGCTTGCTTGCTTGCTACCCCTTCCATCTTCGTCTTACTTGCTTTCTCCCAGGAGCGCCTTCTGACCAAGTCCCAGCGACAGAAGGCCAGGCTTGGAGCAGGGCTGCTGAGGGAGCAGAGACGTGTTGACATGAGACAGGCACTCCAGATCAAGTCATTGTGTTTCGGGCTCAAAGTGCAGGATTGCTCTTGGTATGTTAAGCTGTCCAGCGTTTATTAGCAATGTCGGTGGAACCAAAGCCCTTGGGTTTGGGCGCTCACTTGAGTTTTAATTGGTTGTCCACACCTGAGCACATCACATCATGCTGGGCAGGACAAAGCTACGTAGACTGAGTTGATGTTGTATACTGGTTGTCGTACCGAATGCACCCCTCGTCCGTTAATTCGCCTTTGATTCTAATCCTAAGACTAGTCTTATGCAAGTTGGCCAAGCCCGTGTGGGCTACTTGTCGTTTGATCCCCAGCAATTGCAATTGCGCTTCAACGGCCAATGTGCTAGTGCTTGGAAGACATGTTTTGAAAGCTGTCAACTTTTTTGAACGCAAGTTAAGCATGCTTCAGAGCGCCTTTCAGCATAGAACGCCTTGCATTGGCCACACCACCAGCAACCTTTGTGTCCTTGGATACTGTTTGGATCAACTCTGAATTTCACAGCAATGACACATCATGATTTCAAGAAAACTAATCAGAACAGTGCAGTGCAGGGGTTCTGCATGGGATGGACTAAGGGACTATCAGCGATCAGGGTTCACCTTCCCCATCGGGTCAATGAGCAACCCCTTATTTTTTCCAGGAATCCTTTTCTTTAGACAATTGCCACATGGATGAAACAATTGCGGATTTACCTTCGGACATGTGAAGTCCCGACAATCTTAAACGAAACTGACAGATAGAATACCATTGAAAAGGAATACTAAGCAGGCATGCTCATGTCGCATGCGGGCGGCAGATTGAAGAGCTCGTGAAGAATCCGATGAAGTTCAGGCGGAAGCCGATGGGTTTTGTTGGACAAGGAACGGGGCGGATTCTTCCAGGGAATGCGGGAATGGGATTGGGAGCAGATGAAAGAGACTGGCTGTACTGTGGGTTTTGGTGAAAGTACCACTTTTTGAGGCCCCAGTACAGGGAAATTGAGGTCGGAACGCAGGATTGGACCTGCCAAGCTCGGTAGCCATCAGAAGTCAGCTGCACATTTGTAGCGTTTGACACACTGCCAACCTAGGGATGCAGTGCTGTTCTTGCCGTGGGATTCGGATGTGGAAGGCAAAAAACGGAACGGCTTGCCTGGTTCATGCCGATGCCAACTTTTGGAGGCTTTTTGTCTCTCACAGCTAGGAGTTTGTTGATCTTTCTGAGTGTTTGTTTTTCGGGCCACAACTTTTTGGCTGGCTTCCAACGGAAATCAAAAGGTTTCCCCGTTCTCATAGATGGATCTGCCCTCCGGTCTCGATGCACAGCAAAGAGTCAATCATTCCTGTGAGTAGTCCCATTCAGGGGAATGCCAAATTTGAGGTTCAGAAAGGGCAATGCATTTTTTGGCTTGTTGTGACACCCCCCTGTATGTTGCACGGAAAAAAATAAAGGTGGTACTGGGGCTCAAAATTAGGGCCCTTTTCCTTTTGAGCTTGAGAGCCTGCGTGATGTGCTGCTAGTTATCGAATTTGACGCAAATTAGCGTTTAGTGGGCAGCTAGGCTGTCCAAGACTATCAGGTCAGATGAATTTCTTGGAATTGGTTGCACCTTCTCATAACATCCAAGCACAGCACAGGAAAGTCAGTCAGAAGGGGCAGAATGAAAAAGCGTCAATGCTTGCCACAACCCAAACAGACCTCCGAACCCAACGAAGATCCCAAACTTGTCACCGAAGTCACCTAAATCACCGAGGAAGCCTCGGCTCCGTTGGGATTGGAAGCAGGTCGGCCTTCCTCCAGGCAGCGCCCTCCGGCGGCGTCGCCGGAGTGCTTTCGGGCCTCAAGGCGCCGTTGCTCGGGCCGAGTTTGCTTTCCCTCGAACCTTTTGTTCTTCCTTGGGACTCACCCATTGTTGAAGGTAATCTTTTTATCCAGGTGGTGTGGACGAGTGAGAATGCCAATCATCCAGAGGGCTGAAAAGGGGGGTGCTGATTACCTCAACCGAATTGAACCCTTGTCACATTTCTCTTCGCTTCTTCTGGCCTGAATAAACAAGTCCTTTCGGACCTTCCGAGTGTTCGGGGCACATTTTTGCTTGTTGCAAGGGCCGTCGCACTCGGGCTGGTTGGCCAGGATGATTTCGCCGGCCAGCTGACAAATCTCCAGAAGCAGGCGACCGAAGACCTGAAGGCGCCCGCCACCGCCCATATTTGTTTTCGGGAATCAGGAATCCAACCGGTTTGCGGGTGCAAAATGGAGGTACTTTGGCTTGGAGATGTGCAAACCTTGGTTTTTCCGAGATCCACGAGCCACATCGTGGCCTTTGCCAGTCGCCCACATGCAAAATCCAGCTCTGGAGGAACTCTCCAACGCTCTGTGACGAGCGGAACATCGAACAGTCGGAACGGTTGGGCTGTAAAAGTTGAACCGTTGAACCCGTGTCAACTTTTTCCGGCCTTGGCAAATGCCACGGGCGAAAGGTCGCGGAATCGGAAGGCGGCTTGAGACACATCGGAGGCCCACGAGGGCTTGGTGAAGGCCAAGACCGAGGAGATCGAAGCGGGGAAGAAGCAGCTGGAGGCCGGCGGCTGTGGCCGGCGGCTGTGTCTTGTGTTGGTTTATTGGTAGCTTTTTGCATAGCTTTTTGGAGTTTCAAAGGGAAAGCAAAGGCACACCCGCCTATTCTCGCGATCCCTTTTAAGATGCGCCCAAAGGGTAGCTGTTTGACGTGGAGGTGCTTTGAGGGCAAAGAACAATCTGAGTCTGCGGCTTGAGTTGGGGATGTGTCAGAATTTGAGAAGCACCCATTCTGTGTGGATTTGTAACAGAGCTGAAGGAACACCTAAAGTGGAGACGATCCAATGCGTCAAAGTACTCGCCTGGACCAATCTCATGGTTGCGGGAAGGAGGGCCCCAAGTTGAAGCGACTACTACTTTCCTTGGGACAGCCAATACTTCTAGAGGATAGCAATGTCGCTGTCAGAATGAGGGACAAGTATACATTCTTTGACCCACACTTTGACGCCAGGACAAGAGCATCCGTGGGTTGAGTGTGAGTGACTCACAGGTCCAGGGGTTAGGAACCTTTGCAGGCGAAGACCGAGCAGAAGGCCTCCGCCGACCTGGAGCGCCAGCAGAGCAAGCAGGCCGAATCCCGAGAGATGGGCACGGGAGGTTGGAAGTGAAAGACCCTTGCACGGATTTTTGCCCGAGTGCCCCTTTGGATGACAGGTTCCTTTTGGGTGGTTCAAGCAACAGCGTTTTAGGCATGTGTAAATTTGTGTCCATTGAGGGTGCCCTGTCCGGGTGGGTTTAGAGGGGAAACAAAAGGAAACCACCATTTTGGGGGGAGGGCACCGCTACTTTGACACAAACCCATATGGGATATGGAAACGGTTTGCGGTTGGCTTCCTTTCAAGCCAATCCTCCCGTTGAGAGTTCTGGCCAAATGTAATGCTTTGCGCTCCAATTTCTTCGAAGGACGTGATGTGACGTCAAGCAATGCGCTTTCGTTGCTTGGTGAGATGCTTGGTCCAACAACGATGGCAGACCTTCGAGGGAATCTGAAGCTTCGGGCCCCAATGGGTATTTGGCTTCCTTTCAGAGGCCAAAAAGGGGCCTTCTCCATTAAATGGGTGGTTCCACTTGGTTTTCCTTCAAACCCCAAAAAGACAGAGCGACCACCCCAACGTAGCATGAGCTGGCATACGCGTGAAGTCACGATTTCAGGGCTTGACGGCGCTCGTTTGTGTGACTAGCAAAAAGAGAGCCTTGGTCCTACCCTCCAGATTCTACTAGCCTTCGAACCAGCTTGCAACCCAAGCAAAGCACAGGTCCTTGAATGCTTAAACGCGGGGGCTGGTTTGACTGTGTGTGTGTGTGTGTGTGTTTGTTGAACCGAAAGAACGAACAACTTTGGCTGTGCATTCTTACATATTCTGACTCTAGGCACTCTCCAAAATTGCAGGTGGGCATAGATTCCCCATGTAAATGACGTACGAGTTCCCCATGCCCTTATGGCATCTGCACCCGTGTTGTGCATCAAATGGAGGTCAACAAACATGTTGGGTGTTGTTGCGCCGGTCAAGCTTGAGACTGCGGTCCCAAATATGGGCAATGGTCATCAATGAGCAGGAACAGAATCCATGACAGCTACTGCTTGCATACGCAGCGTGGTAGCCACGGCCATTACAATACATTCATAAGTGCAAGGAACCACATGGCGGACAGCTTTATCCCTGTCATTGAGCTGCCAAACTTACGAGCAAACATCCATCAGACAATCCCATCGTCAAAAACAATGTCAGCAAAATACTCATTACCAATAGTCCAGATAGGTATTGCCAACTGAGAGGACATTGCCGAGGAAGCGCCATTGCCACCCGACTCTTGGCCCTTCCCCACAACAGCAATCCAAAGCACTATTGTTTTCCACTAGTTTCACAGTATCCATCCCGGAATCAAAGGGCCGGACTTGGACCCAGAAAGTCGATCCCGTCTGAAGAGCCTGGTATGAAGGCTGAATCCAAGCCTTCACTTTGGGCATCAACTGCAATAGAGGGCTATGTAATTTATTGATACTAAATCTAATACTAGTGCTAGACATACTAATGCTAACGCGAATACAAATACGAATTCTTCTGCTATTCCCACTTCCAATACCAAAGCCAATGCTAATTCGAATACCAATGCCAATTCCAATACCAATGCCAATACCAACAATATTGATGTCAATAGCAAGAACAGGCATGATAACAATAGTGATAATGAACGTGACAATACCAATAGTAAGAGAAATGGTAGTCACAAAACAATAGTAAGACCAACACGCATATGAAACATAATGCGTATAAATATTTTCTATATACGGACTAGCCATGCAATGCGAGTTTCTGGTTCCAAGTTGCCTCGATGTTGCATCCATGGGCTCAGGACATCAAGGACACCGAGGCCTCGCTTTCGGCGGATGGGTCCATGAGCTCGGAGGTGAAGGACAGGTGCGAGGTGGAGCCCTCGAATGTGCAATGGGGGGGTTCCCGCAAAATTGACAAATGGATTTAAATGGATTTCCTTTAAAAGCCGTGAGATTAGATCACTTCACTGCTATTGTAGTTCGGACAAAGGCAAGTGTCGAACGATGTAAAGGAGGACAGTCACCTCAAACTTCCGATCAATGAATTCGCAAGACCATACTACTCAGCAAATTCATCAGAATCTCATCAAGAGGGGAACCACCCCTGATTAGTATGGTCCTCCTGATTAATCCAAAGTTGACATTACAAGACAGCAAGCAGTTTCCTCTGGCAGGAGAAATGCTCTGCCATGGACGCAGACTACGAGAAGAGAAGTTTCTCGGTGACTACTTGGGTTGGTCTCAAATCAGCTACTTTGAACAAAAGGGTGGGCACCAAACCGTGTACCCTCCTCCGGGGCCCTGTCTCAAAATGGCACCCTTTGTGGCTTTTGTGGAACAGCACCCCACAGCTTGGGAGGGTACCAGGCGGTTCGACTGCTCAGCTGATGATATCGAGGGAGTTGCCTTAATAGCAGCTGCTATGTGAGTCGTGAATGTTCTCCAGTTCAGCTTGCTCACGATTATCTTTATTCATGCCACCAATCCCAACCAACAATCCACACCAATTCAACTGAGGGCTGAATCGAAGATATGTTTGCCCTGCCTCCAAGCGCTTCCGAGGCAAGGTGCGCTCTGACGAGCAGGCAGCGGTCAGCAAGGCCATTGAGGTTCTCGCCGCGGATGAGGTGGGGGCGTGCTGGGGGCGGCCACGGACACTTGGCCAATACCCTAAGCAACGAGCCTGAGCCTGCGAAGAAGACGACTACATGCCCACCATACGGTCCTACGAGGGGGGGGTGTCTATGTACCTCGAGAAGGAAGTTAAGTGAACCAAAACGGAACTGGAGGCCAACGGTTTGGAGGACTTATCTCCGTAAATTTTGGCAACAATGTAAACATTGCAACAAATTGTTGTTGGCGTCTTTAAAAGGGGATTCCCAGAGCGTGCTCAAACATGTTTTGCTATTCAATGGGTAGATGGGCCAGGATTTACCGCAACTCGAGCTGAGAAGTTTCCTGGTATCCACTCTCTGAGGACCTGACCTTGCAACCAAGGCATTCCAGATGCCCCTGACTGTTTGTTGTCCATGTCAGGGCGGCGAGCATCTTTCGAGTACTGAGAGGGGCTCAACGGCTGCAATAAAAGATGTGCTTTCCCTGTGAAGGAGGAACAACCATTCTTCTGTTTTTTTGGGGCTGGTGGAGGAAGACATCGCCTTGCTCACAGGTGCAAATGCTCTTGGCGCAGGAAGTTCTGTCTGGCTTCCATAAAAGCATGGCATTCAACCTGAGTCAGAAGTAGGCTGGCACTTGGGTCATTAGCCATGTGGGGCGCGGCCTGCATACCCTGTCTTGGCCAGGCGCACGATGTCTTTGGCAAGACTTTCGGGGCATCCTTCCTGCAGGCAAGGCACTGAGAAACTTGACATGCGTGCTTGCCCTGTGAGCCTGTGAGCCAAGAACCATAGACGGATGGCACGCGGGCAGAGGCCGTAGACACATTTTGCCAGCAAATGCCTGGGGGTTGAAATCAAGATAAGATGGTTTTAGCTACTTTCCGGTCATACTCTTGCAGGAAGAAGCTTACCAGTCAGTCTATGAGTTTGGGGCGAGAATGTGTCATGTGTCCCCTGCATGTTGCAATCAGCCAGCAAGGTATTCGAAAAGTCGTGCCTCGCAACCAGCAATGTTTACAGCACTCCCCTGCACATCAACATGGACCCCAAAATGGGATCCCCCAAAACACGGTTGTTCTTGTAACGCTGTTTGTTGGTGTTCGCATTTCTCTGGGCGCTGGAGTCACACGCCACGTCTGAGGTTGCGTCGGAGAATTCCAATCGCGAGAAGGCGGCTGCCGTGCTGGCCGCCGCAGGGAAGCTGGATGCAACTTGGTGTTCTCAAGGCATCCTTTCTCTTTTTGGCCTCCAGTCTGAGGGTACTTTCAGTTCCCGTATCTCCTTAACAAAAAGGTGAATTCCGATGGAAGACAGGTTTCATCAAAGACATCTTCAGACCTTCACAAGCTCAGGCATTTGGACAACATGGCCAACGTGGGGCGAGTTAGAGGGGTATTGCAGCAGGTGAAAGCTGCTGCTTTTGCCTGACCTGCAGCCCCACACACGTAATGCTGTAGCTCATCTACTCGAGTTCTACTAGAATCGACACTCCTCCAGAATCCATTTGCTGGGCGAATTTGCCTGCGACATCAAGAAGGAGCTTTGTTGCTACCTCGGACCACATGAGAAAGGTTCGTTTCATTTCAACCTTTTGTGTCCAAGAGGTGAATTATCTAAATCACCCAGAATCCATATATTATTGAATGATCTCTGAGGCTCGCTTGACCACCCTGGCCCTCACCTTGTGCCTGGGCCAGCATTGCAACGTCTCCGCAGCCATCATGAGAACTGCAACTCCCATTGTAGAGGGGTGTCTTTACCGAGGGTCTCTTTTGTGGGTTCCATCTTTTGCATTCAAGCAAGCACGTGGAGATGTCAACACGCCGTAGAAACACCAAGTTTGAACCGCAGGGTTGGTCGCATTGTATTTGGCAATCTGAGAGATGAATGATCACAACTGCGCGCTTCAAGAGCTTGTTTTCTGCTTGAACCAGTAGGCCGCACAATCCTCAGCAAAGTGGCTGATCATTCTTGTCCTTGGAACAAGGTTTGGGCTGACTCACTTTGCTTTCCCACTGAGACGACGCATGTTTCTAGCGTTTGGTTCTTGAATCTCAACAATCGGATTGCCTCATCCTTTGATCTCTAAAGGGCTGGAGGTTGCCGGTTGCCTTTCGTGAAGGGAAGGAGGGTGTATTCTCGTGGGCTCACAAAAGGCTTTGCGACGGGCCCTAGGTTCCTTTCTTCGGGATCCCTCACATTGGTGATGTGTTCAAATTCTCCCAGTCAAACACAATGGGATTTCTTGCCAATGGGCTCAAAGACTGACCCCGCAACTTCAGGAAGTTGGACACCTTCGAGAAGGTGAAGCAGTCAATCGACGAGATGAAGGCGGACCTAAAGAAGCAGCAGGCCGAGGAGGTCGAGAAGAAGGCGCGCACGTCCCGAGTCGCCGAAAGGTCGCCGAAAGGAAACACCATGAGGCATGTCCATAGTGACCACGGCTCCTCCAAGTTCCTGCAAGGATTCGTACGTCGCCCATAGCCGCCCACTCTGTTTGAGATTTGCTGCTTCTTTTTGGCGCGAGGATACAATGTGACAACTGCAGTAGCAGTAGAATTTCGCATGACGTCACGGCCAGCTACCGCCTTCTTGAGGAAACAACTATACTGGAGAGCTGGACAAGAGCACTGAAATAGTCCTTCATCTATTGCGATTGGTGTTTTTTACCCTGGCCACTTTGGTCTGCAGTATAAGATTGGTAAGGCAACACAATTGGCTTCGAACAGGGTGACCGCACGATCAACAGGGTGACCGCAGGATCAACACATGTTTGCCAGGGCACCAACCTGCCAAATCAGCTCCCTCCCCTCCTTCCTGGGGGTCCTTTTTTGCACAATTGGTAAGCCAAAAGGACCGGGACTTGGTCGGAATCTCCTTTGCAGATGGTCAAAGTGCGCTGACTTGTTTGCAGTGTGTGAGGAATACACCCGAATGCCAGCAGAAACAAGCCCAAATCTTCAAGTTGGGCAATTTTTTATGGTGGTTTCGGGTTCCGCAGGATTGGTGCACGGATGAGTTCCAGAAGGCCAAGCTGGAGACCCAGGACGCTGGGCAAACAAACATTGGACCCGACTGGCCAGCCAGTCAGTCTGGGTGTGGGTCTGCGTGTCGCATGCATGCGTGTCACACCGTGCTGGATCACGTACGCTAATACTTTGGGCTCGTCAAACAAATGCGGGGGGCAGCCTCCCAGTGCAGCTGGTTGCTCATTCGCGTTGAGTGCGGTTTGCCAGCGGGTGGACCCACTTTTCAAGTGTGTGTGTGTGTGTGTGTTTGTGTTAGGACCATTTTGAGACATACCCAAACAGTGCCCAAAACCCACTGAATGATATTGGTTCCATTAAGATGGTCGTAAAATTTAAAGGTGTGAACAGGCTTTGCTATTATCCGAATACTCAAGGTAGTGTACCCGCCAGTGCGGGTTTTGGGGCAATGCTCAAATGGACATTCAAACCAAGATCGGTGCCCAGAGCACACCTGAGAAACATCCTATGTGTTGCTTGATTGTAGGTGATATGTGTTCCTTCGGGGTAGGTGCGACCTTGGCGACTAGCCAACGAGAGTTTGTTTGGTTCCTGTGAGCCTCGGTTTACCTGTGTATATATATAGGTATACTACTTATATTCCCTTTAAACATCGCTGCACAAAAAGCTCATGTTATGTGAAAATGGCCCAACATGTGATGCTTGAACCACCCAAAGAGAAACATACTGTAAGGATGCCGCGATGCCTGTTTCCCCCAATGGTTTCAGCAAGGAATTAGGAACATAGAGGGACTCATTGAGCGGGAAACTATGTCAGCGATCACAGAGAGGGCGCTGAACGTGGAGAAAGGTTTGGCCGCTGACGACCTGAGATCCGCAATCCCTCCATTGCTTTGACCAAAGCCCCTGCCCGCATGTAAGTTCCCCTTTTGACTTGAGCGTATTTAAAATGTCATGCCTTTCCTCTATTATTGATGCAAGAGATCTTCCGCAGCCCCTAGTTACATGACCTTGAACACAAGTGCGTGAAGCCTCTCAATCATAGCCATTTGTGCGAAGCAAAAATAAACATTCCCACTCCATTCCGAAACCAGCGTATCAGCTCTTCCCGTCCTTGAGAACCCGGTTGACGAAAGCTGCCATTTCAGCGCCCCATGGCCCCACCCAACGAAAAAAAACAGGGTATTTTGGATTGGCTCTGCTAGGGCAAGAAAAAGTCCGCATGTAGCTATACTGGCATTGTAAACCACCACCAGCACCCCCCACACAAACCCACGCACCGACCCACACCCGCAAACACCCGCCAACACCCAGCCGCGGTTTTGAGAAACGACGGGACCCTTTCGCCAGGACAAGACCCGCGCGGAGCAGGCCAAGCTGGCGGAGCTGGAGTCCCTGCAGGGCAGCGTGGCCACCCTGGCGGCCGACATCAAGCCACTCGGCGTCTATTTTTGTTTGTATTTTGCTGTATTTTTTGGAGTCCTTGTCACTTTTGAGGGCAATTCTTTGGTATCACAAGTGGCCACACAAGACCCACTATGCATATGTTATTTAAGGATACCCTTTTTAACTTGCCTATTTTGACACCTACCCATTTGGTGAGTAGCTGGAGGGTGTTGCAGAGCGGGTCGGTGCTGCCGAAACATGAGTGCGCAAGGTTGTTTTTGCATGTTCTTGCATTTGCGGTCGTCAAGCGCCCGCTTTGTTGACCCTGTGCCAATCTTGCTTTCTGCGGCCTCTGCCGCAGTATTGTTTGTTTTTTGGCGTTCAAAGGCCTCCTCTCCGTGCTTGTGGAATATCCTTTCCTTTTTCGCGTGATACTTGCAGCATCTTCAGAGAGGCTCTTGACAGCCATGCTTGGAAGACAAGGTCGCTGGAGGATGAGGCCGTGGCTGCGTGGTTGTGGTTGCGTCAGCTTGTCACAGTTCAATCTGTGCCATGGTTCAAAACATACCAAGCCATTTGGGTTTTGCTGGCGGAGGCCATTCTTTGGTGGGGACTTTCTTATTACGCTCCACATGCGTGGGAACTGGTGCATCCCATTTCTTTTTGCATGGTGCTGTGCTTCTCGCAGGGCCGAAAAAGGATATCTGCCCTACAGGGTTGCATTGTGTCGTGTGCTGCTTGCATTATCCTTAGTAAATTCACATGGGCGTGCCGTGCACGGGTAGGTGGCTGAGATGAACAAGCAATTGCAGCTGGCGGGCCAGAATCGGGAGAAGGAGAACAAGGACCGCTTCGCAAGTCCTCCTTTTCTTCGAGTTTTGGTTCCTGGCAGCCCATGTTGTTTTCTTTCCAGCGGCCTATGTTCCTTTGGCTTGGTTGGTGTGTTTTCTGCTAAAAACTCAATTGCGTGTTCACGCAATTGCATATCAATAAATGACGAAATGTGGCAAGAACGCAACGTTCACATTCTTTGCTTTGGTGGTATCATGATGTCAAGGGACGCCTCGGGAACCAGCTCATGCAGAGCAGCGACGCCATCCACAAGCCAGGCATATGCTAAAGCGACTCGATACAACGGACGCCTTAATTGGCAACGTGGCAATGACGCTTTACGCCACAAACATGTCGATGTCATTCCTCTGCAGCACACTCAATGGCTGGATCACCGAGCCCGCCAGCTCGTCCGTTCATTTGGCCACTCGTTTATCCACTTGTCCGCTTGCCCACATGGGCTTCCCCTCTCCGCTGACAGTCGGGTCTCCGCTTCGCATGCACTTGCTAGTGTGCAGTAGGGAATGTGGGAATGACCCCAGGAATTGGTCTCCTTAAAGGAAACCACCAGCAAGGGATGGTTTAATTCTCGGGGTCTCGCACGCATCGCAACATGGAAGCGCAGCACGAGCATTTTTCCTGGTCTCAAAGTTGGGCTTACGGATTTCGAGTCCAAGTGCGGTTTCGTCAGTTGAGTCAAAGTTCCAGTGTTCTTGGTTGCTATAGACTTTACAACCTTTTGGTTGAAATCAGTTGGGCTTCCGAATTGAACCCACAACAGCTAAACTTTTTGTTTTTGCCGAGGGTTAGCAGCAGCCAAGTTTTGTCTATATGGTGAGTTCAGTGCTTGGTGTATGCCAGAACTATGTAGAGGATTTTCACCTTGGTACTTTCCATTGTTTCACATTGGCACAACCCTTTGAAGGTCCCTCAAAGGGACATGCTAGGGACAGGGACGCGCAGCAAACAGCCACGTGCCAGCCCCAACCGCTGGGTTCCCGCTACCCTGAAAATGGATTTGGCGTCCCTTTGGTTTCCGAGCAACAGGCCTACGGCTGCGGTTTGTTTTGGGACCAAGGGACTTCTTCACAAGACTACCCAGGACACATCAGGACACCATCCCCAGTATTGGGACTGAAGGAAAGCATATGATATAAAATCGCCAAAACCTGAATTCTTTCGACACATGACAGTTGGCACATTCATTTGGCTGGTAGAACGGGCTGTGGTGGTCCTTGGAGCATTTTTTGGAAATGCCGCCTTCTTCTCATCTCGTCCTCTTCTCCTGTGCCTCCTTATTTTGTTTCGCCTTTCGGTTTACTCCTTAAGAATGGAAGAGTCTAGCCTTTCCATTCTTTTCACCTTTTGACCGCAACCAGCATTTGCTCACATCCCGTTACATTTTGGTATGTCTCAAAACACGGGAACCCCCTTAAAATGGTGTGTGTGTGTGTGTGTGCGTGTGTGTGCATTTCCTTTCGGATTCCTTTAAAACCATCCAAACAAGTTGGTTTCCTTGTGGTTTCCTTTTGGACAACTTTGAAACAGGGGCACCCTCAAAAAAAACACCTCCAGAAATCAGCTTCTCAGGAGTTCCAGAAGACTGTGATGGAGCAGCGGCAGTCCCAGGACAGACCCGTTTCGCACCTGAAAGCAACTTTGTGATCGAACCCATTTTCGGGGTCAAGTTGCACACATGTTAGGATTTCGATCCCCCCGAAACGTGCAGGCAATTTGCCTTTTCGTCAAATTGAACTCAAGGGGGGTGCCAACGTATTTGGTTCAAAAGCTTTCTGCGAGGAGCTGTTGAAGGGGGCTATGGCCTCCCTCAAGAAGTTTTACCAGGCATGTGGGGGGCTTGGACACCCGGCTTGGGTGTGTCGTGTTTTGGGGCCGGGTTGGCTTGGGACGGCGCTTTTAGACCGCTTTCTTACCTGGAAGGGTGGTAGGGGAGGCCCTTTCAAGCCTGTTGCATTGTGGGCATGAGGTTTGTTTGGGAAGCCCCACTTTTGTGATACCTTTCGGGAACCGTAACCTCTGCTTTGCAGCGGAAGGTGGGAAGGCCGCTTTTGCGGTGGTATCACACCACTTGCCGGAAATCCCACAACCCCTGTGTGACTATCCCCCAGAGCACGCCTAGAATGGACGGGGTCCCTTCCTTAAGACTATTTGCGTTTGGTGTGAAAATGAGACCTCGTACCCGACTGAAGGACGCCTTCCCTTTGGGGTTTCTTGATGTTTTTGGAGGAACTCCAATGAACTTTCCGGCCTTCTTGACCGTGCGAAAGCTTGCATAGGTGTCCTTTTAGGTCACCTTGGTTGAACATAGATGGATGCCAGTGGTTTCAGTTGGCTCTCCTCATTTACCAGCGGAATCCATCTAAAGTTCCGTCCCTCTGCACCTGCTTGGCCATGTTGTCGGTCCACAGGCTGAGCCAGCGCTCATCCAGACCAAGCGCACTGGTGACGAGCCAGAGTTCAAGGAGAAGCCGCCTGAAATTCCCTTTGTTGAAAGCTTCCCTTTGAGGCTCACCCGTTTGTTGTGATGCATTCGCGAGAGGTTTACGTATGAAGTGGATGGAGCTTCATTATTTGCACTGGGCACCTCTGATCCCACTTTGTGGAATTCAGAAGGAATGGGAGGAACAGTTCTTCCTTTGGCGAATCTGGGGATTGAACAAGGTGCCGACGGTCTTCGGACGTTTGGAAATTCGTAGGACTACAAGCAGCAGTCCAGCAGCTTCAACGTGGGGGGCTTGGTGAAACCACGTCCTTCACGCTGCCCACGGGTGCCATTTTTGGCCTAATGCCCAGGCTGTTCTTTGGTTTGTTGTGGGACATGATGCGCAAGGTGCATTCCGATGTGCATCTCTGGTATCGACAGCAAGACCAGCAAACAAGGCCCTCCATTGTTGATCATGTTTTCTGCGAACATGAATGCCTTAATGTCTTTTGCTCAGATCCCAAATTTCCTAGGTGTGCAGCACCATTCCGGGCGGTACTCACACTTTCCAATATTGAATATCATATGAAGAGGAGACTAGGTTCAAGCGCGTTGATGGATCTCCGACTAGAAATCATGTTTTGCCGCTGGCGGTGATGCCAGCAATGCGGACTGTGCGCAGGGTGAGCCAACCAGCCCCCGCCATCACGTGAGGGAGCTTCATGTTCATTTGCTGTTGGCAAATAGACACCAGCACAGGATTTCGATCATGGGACAGTATGTCACAAGATGATTTGGAGTCATGCCCTAGCGGCAGGACGTTTTTTTTTTTTGCTTGCAAACTCTGGTCATGAGGGATGAACCTGAGTCATCTCAACTATATAGGTTCATGATTGTCATCTACCACAACGCATGAGGGACATCCTCCACTTCCAATGACACACTTTCTGCCGAGTCATCCGAATCAACATGCTGCGCGTTTTCCCAAGGGCTTCGTTTTGCGATCTTGGGTTTCAGCAACTCATATCGTTCAAGCGCCAGGTGTGTCCAATTCTTTTTTTTGTTCAAAAGGAGCTGGGCCTTTGGGTCCAGATCGCGGCTTTCAGGCGGTGCCAGTCCTAGGTGCTGAGCATGCTGCAGCAGCTGGTCGCCGACGCCAAGGCCATGGAGGCTGAGGTGCCAGGGCGGTTTTTTCAATTTGTTGTGTGGGGGATGGTGGGACAACCGAATCCAGGGTTGTCCTTGGATTCCAACTTTTTCCAATCCAGGTTAAGCATCATTCTTTTGTGCTGACTTCTGGGTGAGTTTATTTCTGGTCCATAAGGGGCAACCCATCGATCGATCCGGGCCTGCGGGACTGTCATTCATTGCAAATTGGAATGAGACTTGCACGTGGCACGCCTGTCCCGAGTTGAAGCATTTGCTTTTTCCGGATGCATCCTGCTTGCCTCGCTTCGTCAAGGCTATCCTAGCGCTGAGCTGCTGCTCCTACGCCCACGACGGCGGTGACAACAACTACGACAACTCCGACTACTACTACCACTACTACTACTGCTGCTACAACCACTACCACTACTTCTACTGCTGCTGCTACTACTACTACTGCCAATCCTACTACAACTACTACCACTACTACTACTGCTGCTACAACCACTACCACTACTTCTACTGCTGCTGCTACTACTACTACTGCCAATCCTACTACAACTACTACCACTACTACTACTGCTGGTACAACCACTACCACTACTTCTACTGCTGCTGCTACTACTACTACTGCCAATCCTACTACAACTACTACCACCACTACTACTGCTGCTACAACCACTACCACTACTTCTACTGCTGCTGCTACTACTACTACTACTGCCAATCCTACTACAACTACTACCACTACTACTACTGCTGCTACAACCACTACCACTACTTCTACTGCTGCTACTACTACTACTGCCAATCCTACTACAACTACTACCACTACTACTACTGCTGCTGCTACAACCACTACCACTACTTCTACTGCTGCTGCTACTACTACTACTGCCAATCCTACTACAACTACTACCACTACTACTACTGCTGCTACAACCGCTACCACTACTTCTACTGCTGCTGCTACTACTACTACTGCCAATCCTACTACAACTACTACCACCACTACTACTGCTGCTACACTACCACTACCACTGCTTCTACTCTACTGCCAATCCTACTACAACTACTACCACTACTACTACTGCTGCTACAACCACTACCACGACTTCTACTGCTGCTGCTACTACTACTACTGCCAATCCTACTACAACTACTACCACTACTACTACTGCTGCTACAACCACTACCACTACTTCTACTGCTGCTGCTGCTACTACTACTACTGCCAATCCTACTACAACTACTACCACTACTACTACTGCTGCTACAACCACTACCACTACTTCTACTGCTGCTGCTACTACTACTACTACTGCCAATCCTACTACAACTACTACCACTACCACTACTGCTGCTACAACCACTACCACTACTTCTACTGCTGCTGCTACTACTACTACTGCCAATCCTACTACTGCCAATCCTACTACTACCAATCCTACTACTCTACTATTCTACTATGCTTCTATGCTACTATGCTTCTATGCTACTATTCTACTATGCTACTATTCTGCTATTCTACTATTCTACTACTATTCTATGCAATTCTATATCTATGAAACTAATCTACTACAATGTTACAATCATCACTACTTCTTTTTCCGGCACATCTGCCTCTACCACCCTCCGCCATCATGTTTTCTAGGCGTCTCATGCGGAGAGCACGGCGCAGGAGGACTACGAGGCCCAAGTGGAGCTTTGGTATCTCTTGTTGATATACATTGCTCTCAATCTGGTGGACCCTTCATGAGTCTTTACCTTTTGCCCTTCAAAACGATCGCTGAGCGCAAATCTTTGATTTGCTGATGCTCCTTGTTGGCCAGATTTGTCGTTGGGCCACTTGCTACTGTTTGTGTTTGTGCACTGCGCAAGGTTAAATTTGCCGCCGGAATCTTTGAGCTGTCAACAGCTGTTTCCGATTGGAGGACGTGCCATTCATCACTGACATCCAGTGTCGGGCTGGTATGATTCCGCCGTGGTGCACGTGGATACTATCAAAAAACGGACTGCCGTCTCAAGGTCAAACGCGGGTGACCAAAACTTGGGGACATCTATTTGTATGTTTTCACAAGGGAAACCAAAAAGTAACTGCCCAGTTTTAGAGGTTAACTAGTTTAGAACCGATACGCAGTAATTGATTTTTGTGTTGTGACAGGGTGTCATCCAGACGGCTACAACATGGCCATTTTCCAACCCGACAGTTGAGATGGCACCATTTTCTCCAGCTCCCAGGCGTTCGCCAAGGCTACCTCCGAAGCTTTGGCTGCAGAAACTTCTTGGAAAGGGCCTGGGATGCCTTGATAAGCCTGGGTTCGAAGTTCAGCCTAACCGAATGGCTCAATTCCCTATGCCATCGAGGGACAAGTCGTCCTAGGTCCACCCAGGAAGAAATGTTGAGGGAACCAACCTGCGGGCTTGTGCGATGCCTTCTTGAAGTTGTGGAATGTGAGCGTAATCATGGGTGACTGGCGGAGGCACTTGTGTTCTTGTTGCCTTGACTCTCTGTGCATCTTTTGACGAGAATCTTCTTTTTTTGGGGGGGTCCGCGACATCAAGAAGGCATCCTACCCACTTGCTACTTCTCCGCTTGGCCTGACCGCACACATTTGGATCTGTCTCAAAATAGGGGGTCCCCTCTTCAGATGGCTTTAAGTCGAAGCCAAAAGCAAACTCCGCGTTTCAAGGGGTCCCAGTTTTGAGAAACACACATTTCATCACTGCGCACAAAACAGATTGAGGCTGCAAAAGGCAAGGCTCGTTATCAATCCTTCCTGCCAGTGAAGTGGATTGACAGGTTTGTTTGCTCAATTACTTCACACTGCCTACTTCGTCTGCATACTTCGTGCTCTTTTCTCGCTTCTGGTGCTGCTTTTGTTGCCCGCTTGTCAGGCGCCACCTGTTGACGGTTCGACTTTAGTTTGCCCAAAGTAGAAGTTTTCTGCCATGCCCAGCGTGCCTGTTGAGCTTTGGTTAAAATTGACAGAGGTCCGTGGCCATGATAAACCTGCCGCACTGAGGCGTCGGTTGAGACCAAGCAGAAGCAGACCACCACCAAGTCAGAGGAGAAGGGCTCCACTGAAGCCTCATTGGTGGAGGCGTGGAATGGGGCGAGGGGCTAGTTGGGAATTTCTTCAACGCCATCATGAGCCAAATCGTTGGGTCTGCAAAAAAGGTCAGCGTGTGTCAGCCCCCAGTGATATGCATCCAGGTTTAAACACCCATCAACGTATGTGTTGGTCTCCGAACGCGAACGACAACAAACAGCAACAACATTACCCCCCTTCAAGGGATTTGTCACAACCGCTACGGGTTCCCATTGAGAGAATCATGACCTTTGCCAAGATCAGGCACGTGTCATATGGGCAGGATAGCCCTGCCGCCAAGCAAGTTGCCATTCAGCCCGCTCATGGGTAGACGAACGTTTGAAATTGGGTTTTGATATATTCTTTCCTCGCCCTTGACTTATGATTTTGCCCGACGTGCGCTTACGAAACAAGCAGCTGAGTTCCAACACAAGGACCAGCCTAGTTGCTGACATGAATATGTCTTGACGAATTTCAGCAGCAAAGGGCCATTACAAAGACATGTCTTGATGACAATATGCACGTCGTGAGATAGAGCAAAAGAGCAGTCGCCACGCAATTGCATAAGAGTCCGAATGTGATGATGTCATGCGATTGATCCTTCTACCAGCTGACAAAGAGCTGACGGGTATTCAACTTGGAGGCAAGCAGGTTGCAACTTGGTTAGAAATCATTGGTCATCGTTGTCAACTTGTTGTTCCAAGGCTTGGCTTTGGGCCAAGCCCTGAATTGCATTTGGCCATTCTCAGGTAACTTCCAGTTGGGTTTGCCTCACAATGTCGAGCCCCCAAAAGTAAACATGGTTTCCATTTGGGTTTCCCTCCAAAACAACCCCCAAAATCAAAAGCATCATCTAAAACTAACGAATTCAAATGGCGTTGGGCAAGCCAATCGAGATTCCCCGGCAAAGGGCAAACACTGATGGCTGGCAGTTATTCTTCTCTGGGGCTTCTGAAGGAAAGTGATCACCCGAATCCAACGATGGCCCCATCTTTGAGCCTTTTGGGGAGAAGGATCTTTTAACACGAGCCAGGGCTCCGTTTGTTTTCCCGCGCATGGCACCGGCACAGGCGCGCCAGGCCAAGGAGGGCCTCGGAGCGGAGCTGTCGGAGCTGGCGGCCTTGACCGGCCAGCTCCACGCCCCTCGGCATCGACACGACCGGATCGGATCGGTGGAAGCGGGGGTTGGTTCGGGGTGGGTTGGGGGTTTGGTTGAGCCGCGCGGTTTTAGGTTACGCATGGCGACGGCAAAACTTTAAGTGGAGTGAGTAAGAATGCCAGGGATATTTGCCGAGGGCTCCCTAGAAGATCATGGCAAGGTGCTTTTGTGGCGGGTTCTGAGGACAGTTTGATGGGAATGATTTTAAGGGTGTTATCAATGATGGAGATAGCGACTGCAGGATGCCTTTAGAAAGGCAAAGTGTAGTCAATTATCACGATGACATTTATGGCCCAGAGGTTCATGAGGTAGGAACCCATGATACAAGTTGCAAGACTAGACAACATGTCCGCATGTTGTCATTTGGCTCAAGAAAAGAGCGCGTTGCACGCGCTGCCACAAGGTTAAGGGAGAGGTCACAGTCACGGCGGGGTTCGTTCCTTTTAAGGTCCCGGGTTCCCCCGTTGTTGAGAAAACTGTGTTTCCCTCTCCTTTGAGTGGTTATCAGCCGTAACGCTTTTCGGGTAAACAAACCCTTCCGTGACTGCGACCTTTTGGTCGCACATGGAAGTCGGCCCTCACCGCGGCACTCGCGGTGGGAAAGGGCCGCGTGCCCGTCTGTTCAACACCCTGCAACAGATCGTCGTAGACGAGTACAAGAGACAGGACAGACGATTCCGGTGGATCAGGTTTGCAGACGCCTCAAAGCAACAGATTTCTTTTCCTGGCGTGAAACATTGGATAGTTGGCACCTGTGGGGATTCGACCGAGAAGCCTTTGAGGTAATCGAGGCCGCGGACAACGCTTATCAGCAACGTCTTGCATCGGTTGAAACCACAGGTGTGGTCTTGTCACAAGGTGTGCAGTCGCAGGATAGAGCCGCAGCCTCTGGCGCGGCGGAAGCAGCAAGCAGTGCAGCGGATTGGTTGCGACCTCCTACGCCTCCTTCAGCTTCATCCTGGCTACAAGACTCACGCACTCCATTGCCTCGTATCCGACCATGAGCAGAGGAAAGGCAAGTGTTGCGAGGTGCCGCCAAGACAGCACTTCGTGGGGTATACGCTAGAGCTGCGGAAACGCGGCGGGAGAGCAGCAGGGAACGGTCGCCGCAAAGATCGAGGTCCCCATCGTCTCCGAGACGAGGACCGACTGTTGCTACCCCTGTGGAACATCGGGCGCACAGTGTTGAACCCGCGCTTGCGCGGGAGGGCAGACCATCCAGGACTTCCCTTGCTACACGGCCCATTGTTTTGGCTCCACAGAACAGTATATATCCTGTGACACGATTTGACGAGCACGGCACTTGGGTACTCGTTCGGGAGGCTTCACAGCCACGTGAGGCGACATCTCACCTCCGAGCACAGCGGACATCCCGACATTTCCGTCAGGCTGACCCGTATTCGCTTGCGGACGAGACGTGGAGAGATCCCCCAAGAAGATCATCCACGAGCTCGCGATCACGATCTCGAGATCGACGCCCAGGACCAGCGGAGCATTATCGTCTCGACGCCTATAGCTCAGAGGAGGAGCCTCCGCAGGACGCGGAATCTCTTACAACTGGCAGGGCGGCTTACGTGCCTCGGCGCGTATACGAGGCACCGACACACACTGAGCCTATTGCTTTGCATAGCCGGAGGATTGGAGCAATACAGCAACCGCCATCAAAGGCCGCACCAAAGATCATTTTTGGCAGCAAGCCTCCATTGCCCAAGGAACTTCCTCGTGCAGCTTCTTCGGTACCGGCAAAAGCAGTTATTCCAAGGAAATCACCTCCTCGAGCAAGGTCTCCTATTCGGACTCAGAGTGCGTTCGGGTACAAGGCGCCTCCGCGAGGTCTGAACAAGGCCGAACCCAGAAGCAAGTCAGGCTCAAACCCACCACAAGGGTACATTGTCAAGCCGCCGCCGCCGCAGGTCGTTAAAGCAGCTGCTACAAGCGCTGCAACTTCCGAGTCTGGCACACGCTTTCGATCGCCGCCAAGAAGGCCGCCGCCAGCGCCACCCCCGCCGCCTGCAAGGCCAGTGCCGCCCAAGGAGCTCACCATCGCTCTGGACTGGCACGGAGTTCTTGACGTCGGGCAGCAAGGCCCCCACCTCAACCCGGAGGTCATCCGGCATCCTGTTCAATTCGCAGCTGACTACGCACCGATCAACCTGGTCGTGCTGTCATTCGTTGGCCGGGCAGCTAGCGATTTTCGACGCCGCGAGTTCCAGGTCGCCCTGGAGCACGCGAAGGCGACAGCTGGACTCACCTTCTCCGCGATCAAAATCGTACACGAGAGGCTGGGCCGGGGTGGGAAGGCGGACGCTCTCTTGGGGTTGGGAGCCCACGTCCTCGTGGACGATCAAGCTGCAATCGTCCGCGAGGCGCAGAAGACTGGCATTGCAGCGTTCCGCAACTTCCCCAATTTTGGGCCGAGCGGATTTGCCAACGCGCTTGAGAACGTTGGGGAGTACATCGAGTCCCGGAATCGATTTTTCATTCCGGCGGCAAGGGGCCTGCACCCTTCGCAGTATCTCGAGGAGCTCCATCGGTCTGCATCCCAACTGCCCGCCAATCGGGTCCTTCGATAGCCTTTCTTTGCAAGCCGTTAAAACCGTCGCTTTGCGCGGTACAGCATCTTTGCAGCTACAGGCATTTGATTTGCAGACTTTTCTCATCAGCAGCTTGGCAACATCCTTCGATAAAGCACCAGAGTGCGGCATTGCGGATCAATCAATCTACAAGTACAATTACAAGTGCAGAATTCATCAGGTGCAAAGCAGCAGGGCGTACTTTCTTGAGTGGCTCACTTGAGCATTTCGCAACCAGCTGCCAATCCAGGGATATCTCCTCGTAGCACCTTTTGAGACGCTGCTCGTAGCACCTTTTGAGACGCTGCTCAAAGCGCGTGGAGCTGGCTTCGTGTGAGTGCAAAATTGCATTGCTGTGTCATGGCTTCAACGGGCTTATCACCGCCCTCGGAACCCCGTTCAAGGTCAACCCCAAATGGGGATTCTGAACCGGATGACCCTGACTTAGCCATGGTTCCTGCAGCTATGTCCACAGTTCGCACATCCACACCTCAACGAGCAGACCAAACACGACCATCATCACCCCCAAGTGGTCCGATCGTGTCAGAACCTACATCATCCGAAGCTTCACCAGCCATTCAGTTTCCTTCACAGGGATCGCACGTACCCGACCCGATGACTAACGTACCGGCTGCGGCCTTTATTGCTGGAGCTGCGGTGCAGCAAGTTCATCGAGCATCCGACCTCGCTGCTCAGGCAGCCAATCGCGCCTTGCACCAACAGCAGGCCGCCGACCAGGCGAGACAAGAGGCCGGATGGATCAGGGAAAGGGCTGTAAGAGAAGTGTCAGATGTTAGGGTTCAGGCCGCTCAGCCAGCTTCGCAAGCCCAGCAGGCTGTACAAACAGCACAACAGAGTGAGGCTCAGGCTAGGCAACTAATCGAGCAGACCCGACAGGAAGCCATTGGCCATGTCGAGAACGCGCGGCAGGTTGTTAATGCCACTCAACAGGACGCTCAGCAAGAGGTTCAACGCATTGTTCAAGAGGCTCAACAGGCAATCTCGCAAAGGGAACAAACCATTGCCAGTCAAGAGCATACCATTCGTGGATTGTCCCAGGAAAATTCTGTGATGCATCAACGACTTGTGATCTCGAACTTGTTGCACATCTCACCCAAAAGCTCGTGCGACCCCTGTTCCGATTCAAGAGTCTCCGCCAAAAGCCGCATCAACAGCCGAAACAGCTACGGAATCAAGCGCGGCTAAAGCCTCAAGTCAGGGCAGTTCCCCCAGGAACCCATCAGCCGGTTGGAGCACCTCAGGTTTCAGATTCACAAGATGCCTCCGGTGTTGCCGCATCGTCGCAAGGGAATGCTTTTTCAAGTACTATCCCCGACCCTCCGTGTGGCTCTGTTCAAAGTTCAGGACTTGGTCACGATGCCCCAGCTGATTCAAGGGACCCTGGTGGGGTTGCAACAAGTCAACATCTCGCAGGCCATTCGGCAGTGCTAGGAGCAGCGTCCTCTGTTGGAGACGCAGCCCCCGGCGCGTCGAGGGCAGGCGGTTTGGGAAGAGACGGCACAAGGGATCAAGCCGATGTGAGAGTGCAAGTGACGGCTTTAGCGGAAATGGTTCAGCAGCTTTCTCAATTGGTTGCTAATCAAGTGGCTCCGCCACCTCCGCCTCCGGCCGCACCACCTCCAGCGCCTCCCATGCCCCTTGCAGGGGCGCCGCCTCCGCCAAAAGCTGGCGACGGCATTCGTGTTCAGCCAGTACCAATCACAATGTTGGGAGGGTTGTACTCGTCATCCCCACAAGCGCCATCGGCCGCAAGCTCCGACTCATCATCAGACTCCGATGGAGATGACGATACCCCACAATGTCGAGTTTGCGGCGGCAGCCATGAAGACACGGAATGCCCATACCTCACCATGAATGGTGGTGGGGGAGGTGGGGGAGGCCCTGGCCAGTTCCCCAATGCAGACCCGTCTCAAGCTGCCGATCCCAGTGTAGGCATGACCGCCGTAGATCACGCCGCATATGAGGAGTCCGTTGTCCGTGTCAAGGATCTCAAGGATCTTGTACTACCATCCCCTCCGGAGAACGCTGGTCAGGCTAGAGGTTTCGTCAACCAAGTTTTGATGGCCATCGGTCGACTCCAGAAGACCCCCGGAGATGAAGTTTACCAGTGGGCCCAAGCGTGCATGTCCTCCTCTGAGCAAGAACTCATCGCGGACAAGCGTTTCCCACGTCTAGATCGTGAAGTAGCCGCAAAGCTCCTTAAAACCTGCCGCAAAGGTAAGTTCGGGCCCCTGCTTTCAAAACATGGTTGAACAAGAGAGAATCTCGTCAGGTGGGATGCCCGTAGGGAGAATCATGTTGCGCGCCATCTTCAAGCACTTCCAGTTGGAACGAGGTAGGATCGGAACCTTAGGAGGCCGTAACTTGTTAAAGTTGTCTCTTGCAG